CTCCCCCTCCTTGCCCCGTGGACGTAGGGTATTTGCCGAACCACGTAAAAGTTGTGTTCTTGCTGTGATTTGTAATAGCTTGTAGGATCCCTCGACAGGTCAGTCCTAGAACTGATGAGAGGAAGAGCCGATATCTCACTTGGTTGAGATATCCGCTTCAGATTCTTGTTTCCTTGGTGAGACGGGAATTTTTATCGATCTAATCTCTCTTGTTGTGCGCAGCGGAAATTTCGGCAGCACCTCCGGTGCGCAAGGTGCACAACAAGAGATTAGATCACAATGAAATTCTCGTTTCTCAAAGGAAACAAGAACCAAAAGCCAGATATCTCATCAAAGTGAGATATCAGCTCTTCCTCTCGTCAGCTCTACGACTGCGCGTCGAGGGTCCTCTCGTCAGCTCTAGGACTGCGCGTCGAGGGACCCTAAAAGCTATTACAAATCACACAAAAGCAGTACAATCAATTTTTACGTGGTTCGGCAAATTGCCTACGTCCACGGGGCAAGGAGGGGGGAGATCTACTAATAGAGGGAGAGAATACAATTAGGGTTTACAAAAGAATCTCACAAATAAAACCCTCACACAAACTCTCAAATCCCTCACAAATATCTCTCTCAAAAACAACAAACAAAAGCTCTGTGCTCCAATTGCTTTTCCCAGCCTTGCTCTGCTTTTTCTCCAGCCGCACAAAAGCCGAAAAAATCAAACCCCTCCTTCGCTGCTCAACTAAAAAACCTAATAAACAATTATATATATAGGTAGCGAATCGTGGGCCGGCTTCGTTTTCGTTTCTTTGCACGGAAAAGAGTCCACGCGGAAACAAAACCGCGTCTCGTTCACGTGAACATTCACGTGGTGGTGGCCCACGTTCACAATTCTCCACCTCGGTGAAGTTTTCTCAAAACTGAGCCGATACCAAAGCAACCAAATGTCCCACTTGTTATGACCAGTACGAACGCAATCCACAACAAGTCGAGAACCCGAACGAGAGTCCAAACAATCTCACCCCCATCAACTAATCCAAATCGGCTGCATCTAAAAGACTGCCTACGTATCCTCTTGCCCAAGGAATCCATCCTCGGCTCCCGCCTCCCGTCTCCCGCTGTCGAGCCGACGCTGACGCCGAGATAAGGTACGGTCTGAACAAGACCTTAGAAACCCTAGTTATTGTTTCCAATATATTGTTCGTATAGATTTTGAATCGATTGTTCGCTATGGGAATATTGTGTATACCCAGCGATCTGATGGAAATATGAGATTCTGATCGAGATTTTGAATGGATTGGTATGCTGCGATTTTGGATCCAGGCAATTTAGTCAACAATTGTGAGGGAATAGATCTTAAAATTTTAGCTAATTTCATGAAGAGGATTTTGGTTATTCCCACATTTAGTTTATTTCTCAGTACTGTTTTGGTCTCGATCCAAAATGCTCCTAATTATGCTTCTCATGCAGTTCTATTTGAATGAATCTCGAGAAAGTATTATTAAGTTCTTGTTATCTGCAAATTTTGAGAAACCTTGTTTACTTTGAAGTTAGAGAAATAAAGGAACATTAACAACAGTCCACATTGATTATTTGCTTCCTTTTGCACTTCCGAACACTAATAATCTTTATTTCATCCTGTCTGAAAACATGCAGGAGCCATGATGTTGTGTTAATAAGGGTTTCGTGTGATAGGGGAAGCAAATGGGCTTTTTTTTTTCTGTAACTGAAACTTGTATTCTGATTTTTAGAGATAATGTTCACTCCAATTCCTACATTTCTTGTTAAGTTGCTCGTTCGAATAAATTATCTTTTCAGTTGTTGGCTTGTAAATGCTTAGTGTTATAAATTTCAGTTATAAATTATAATAGTTTTTTTTTTGTGTGTGTGTGTATATTGAAGAGCTGGATAAGTGTCTATGCTACTTAAATCACTCTTTATTTGTTAAATAAGGATGCTGTGTCGTTTATCCTAAAATAACACCACATAAAGAAACTCCATACGCGAAATGGGAATCAGGTCATAGCCAATTAACTGCAGGTTCTTTCGTTCCCCTGTCATAAGCACATAAACTACTATTATTAAAACTTAAAATGGGATAACATAATTATCTCTTTGAAGGAAGTATTTTCGAATTTATTCGAAAATCTACTCCCGGCATTCAACTTGACTAATTACATCCACTTGGAAGTAGTTCTGTCCTTGAACTGCTGAACTTGTACCCGTTACCTGGATTTGAGCTGAACTCTCCAGGCCTCCTTCACGTGAGAGGTGATTAGCGTCGTATTGAAAAAAGTGATTGATTAAGTTACCTGGATATGGCTATGTATCTTTTGTTATCTGACAATAATCAGTGTTTATTCAGGATGGTGCTCTTTATTTGTTTTTTGAAATTTTCAAATGTTTTTTTTTCTTTTTTTGCTTATCAAGCAACATGTGCAGAGTTATATGCTAAATGTGGAATAAAGGTTGAAGTGGATCATATTAAAAACCGATTGAAGACACTTAAAAAAGATATGGGCGCATTTCAAGACATGCAGAATTCTTCTAGTGGATTTGCATTTAATCGAGTGACAAGGATGATGGATGCGGAGCCAAAAGTTTGGGAAGATTACATAAAGGTACGTTGAATAATTAGTCATTTATTATTTTTATCTAAATTGTACTCTGGTCATGTTTCTGCAATAGGCGAATGTCTGCTCCGGTTTAGAACAATGGTAGCATATATGTACGATAGTTCTTCTGCTTGAATTACTTTCAGTTTGTTGAAATTATTGCAAGTGAAATTGGACTGAGTTGCGTATGAACGCTTTTTCAAATAGGCAGCAAGCATAAGCTGATGTTTATTTGCTCGTAAATTCAGGTTCACTTTTGCTTAAATTCTTTCAAGCAGAGTATTTGTATGAATACTTTCATGGATTTCTGAATCTAATAATTCAGGTTCACTTTTGCTTAAATTCTTTCAAGCAGAGTATTTGTATGAATACTTTCATGGATTTCTGAATCTAATAATTCAGGTTCACTTTTGCTTAAATTCTTTCAAGCAGAGTATTTGTATGAATACTTTCAAGCTCGTAAATTGGACTAATAATTTTGTGTTTTCTTTATCTATTAATAGGCACATCCTGGAGCAAAACAATTTCGTTACAAACCTGTACCGTGTTTTGAAAACTTGCAAATCATTTATGGGAAAGACAGGGCTGGTGGTTTATCTTCTGAAACTATCAAAGAAAGACGTGCTCGCATTGAAAATGAAAGAGATGAATCAAGTTCTATCAATACAAATCAAGATGATAGAGAACCTGTTCAAGAGAACGATGTAGAATGCATTGGCCCTTCAAAATGTAAAGAACAAGATCCCAAAACCCATTCTACAACGGGAACATCTTCTAAGGTGATATATAAAAGAAAGCATAGTGCCACTAGCAACTTGGGTGAAGAGCTTGGGGAACATCTTCTAAGGTGATATATAAAAGAAAGCATAGTGCCACTAGCAACTTGGGTGAAGAGCTTGATGGGCTAAAAAGCGGAATGGAGTCAATTGCTTCTGCAATTTGGAAGACCGGTCCTCGTTTTTACACAGAAGGAGAGATATTTGAGGAGCTTTCAAAAGTTGAAGGGCTCAATGAGGACAGAAGGAGAGATATTTGAGGAGCTTTCAAAAGTTGAAGGGCTCAATGAGGACGAACAGCTTGTAGCCTATGACTATCTTACCGAGGATGCGGCTCGAGGAAGAAACTTTATTGGGTTACCAATTCATCGGAGGAAAAGATGGTTGGAGATTAAGCTTGGATGGGCATCACACAATCTTGATATCGGTACTAGGAGGTAACATCCTTTCTTAATCAAGGACACATGGCATCAAAAGAGTTGTTGCCGCCTCTAGAGAGTACACTCACACTTATTCTAGATGCCCTTCTAGAATACTTAGACTAATATTTGAGACGGTTTAAACATGTGTCGATGTGCCTGTTCAGAAGAAAAGAGTTGAACACCAAGGATTAAAGAGGTAGCTAGCTAAAATGACAGAAATCAAAAGATTAAGTTTTATTTGAAGAAAACTATTCATGTAGTTTGTCCCCGGAACTCTGACTGACGAAGGCTTTGTACTTGTGTCAGTAGGTAGCTCTGACAGAAACATTTAACTACTATGACCCTCTGATTGAAATTTTTTCACTCTTTTACCCTGAGAAATCATAGAAATTTTTTCACTCTTTTACTCTGATCTACATTTTTTTTATTCTGGCATGAAAATGGAGGACTGGGGGTAGAGTACGTTATACAGATAGTTATCACTGAGGAAACTGGAGCATGAACGATTTTGTGATGGAGTCTCAGATATGACTTATTTGATGTAGAGATAATCTTGCTTGCATATGTTTAGCTCTTCATACCATTTTCTTTGGATGTTCTTATCATATTTTTGAGCATCCTTATTCGAATCAGTAATTGGTAGGTTGACCTGCTTTACTTTCCTCTCATTAATCAGTAATTGGTTTATAGGCAGAAGTGTAGGAATCTTTCTTCATTGTGATTGAGAGTTATGTTGGTTTACTTCTAAGTTATAACTATATTGGAGCTCACGTCTTCGTTTATGTTTTACTTTTTACAGTGTTAGATATAATTTGTAGCAAATTCTAAGTTATAACTATATCGGACCTTTATATTCTACTTATTTGAATTTTTTTGAATTAATTTCAGGGGATGAAGGATGCGAGATTGATGTTTTGATGGGCTCACTAAAGTCAAAAACCAAGGAATTCGGCATATTTTTCTCTCTATTTGGTTAAGATTCTCTATATATGAAATTGATTGTAATAGATTTTGTTGGTTAAGGTTTTTTATATGAAATTGATTGTAATAGACTTTGTGACTAGAAACGGATAATATACTTTATATTAGGAATATCATGACATTTACTTTAGATTTGTTTTGATTCTTTCATTGACCTTTTTTCTGCAAATATTATGTGTGAGAAATGTTGTTCTTTAATTAGCGGAATTGTGGTTGTGCTTCTGCTTGTTAATATTCACAAACTCGATGTTGATGGCCACTCAAGTTTTTGTGTTAGGAAATTGCCAAATTTTTTAAATACATGTTCGGTAACTTGTAAATTTTTTGAAAATATGATAGAATCATAATTTAATTTAATTATTTTTTGTAAATTATTTAAAATCTGAATCTAATTCCAAAAAAGTATGAATTAAATTATGTTGTGATAATTTTCTTCCTCTTTTCTTAGAAATGTAACCAAACAAGAGAAAATGACTTTCTTATGAATTTTCTTCTAACTTTCCTTATAATATTCTTTCTAACCAAACAATAAAAAGAATATCATTTTCTTTTCTTTTTCTTTTCCTTTCTTTTTACTTTCTCTTTCTTTTTCTTTTCTCTCCCTTTCTCTCAAACCAAACATAGCCTTCGGTTTTGAGAAACATAGTGGATGAAACTTTGGTTAATTATCTTCGTATCCATCTTGATTTTATTTCGGCTTTTTTGCTACTATTTGTCTCCATGCACAGAGAACCTATTGGTTGTCTCCAAGTTGGAGATCTTACTATGGAGATCCTATTGTTTGTCTCCATGTCTTGGATCATATTTTCTATCTCCATTATTCTAGGTCCAAGTTAGAGGCTATTAATTGTCTTTCCGAGGCCAAATGAACATGTGATCTTCTAGACTTTCTAGAATTACTATAGGTTACTTCCATCTAACTAGTTTCCTTTGTCAAGGTCTTGACTGACGTTTATGTTCATAAAACTGATTTGAGGATTGAGAACAAAATAACAAGTTGCTGCAGACCATGAGCATCTACTTCTACTACTAAGGATGATATTTTGACTAATGTGCTATCTGGGATATTTTCTTTTGAGGGAAACGCTGGACATGATTGATATGGATGCTTCTGTTTGTGGGGGAGTGTTAGCGTGGTTAGTATATTAGGAAATTTGGAGAATCCGTTTGTCACGTACTGAAAAACATGTAATCGTATCCTATTTGCTCTACTATAAATAAAAGCTGATTGTCCCTCTATGAGATAACAAGGCTTTTACTATCGTGATAAGAATTTCATGTACGGGGTTGTTACAGATTCATCCCTACAGCGACGAACAGGAGAAGAATGTGGATAGACAAAGAGATCAAGACCATGTTACGACGGATGATAGATGAGAAGCTGAAATCAGTGGAGACTGAAGGATCTGACAGCAATGATTTACTAGGATTACTTCTGCGGTTCACAAGCGGTAATGATAAGAAGCACGCGATAAGGATTGAGGATGTGATCGAAGAATGCAAGCTATTCTATTTTGCAGGTCAAGAAACAACATCCACGTTGCTTACCTGGACACTGCTTCTTCTGTCAATGCATCCAGTCTGGCAGCAGAGAGCTCGAGAAGAAGTTCAGAGAACATGCGGAAAGAATACGCCAGATATGGAATCACTAAACCAACTTAAAGCTGTGAGTACATATATTTTGAACTTAAACATAAATCCTGTTACTTCTTTTTTCTAGTTTAATAAAGCTTAAGAAAATTTGAAATGTAGGTTTCCATGATACTTCATGAAGTTTTGAGGTTATATCCACCTGTTACTTTTCTATTACGCCAAACCTACAAGAAAACAAAGCTAGGAGAGTTTTACTTCCCTCCTGGTGTAGTTCTCGCGCTCCCTATAATACTCATCCACCATGATACGGAAATATGGGGTGATGATGCAGAGGAATTTAACCCGGAAAGGTTTTCGCAAGGGATCTCAAAGGCATGTCAAGGCGGTCAAAATGCATTCTATCCCTTTGGATGGGGGCCGATATCATGTTTAGGGCAGAGTTTTGCCATGATTGAAGCAAAGATGGCTCTAGCTACTATTCTACAGCACTTCTCTTTTGAGCTCTCGCCCTCCTATGCTCATGCACCATATAATGCAGTAACTCTTCAGCCACAACATGGAGCTCACATCATCCTGCATCGACTGTAGGGTTTTAAATTGAAGTTTTGATGTTCATTAGCTATTTAGGTTCTTAATTTATTTGTTCTAAACTTCTAATAAATACTAGTTGGAGTTGATGTTCATTTTTCTTTATTTTAAGTTTCTCTCTTTTGGTACTAGTAAGTGCAGAAAATGAAAATCAAAACTTACATCACGCTACCTGAGTTTACAAGTATAATCGCAAGATGTACTCGGAGATGTTTGAATCGAAGCTTGGGAGATCACAGGGTCTCTAAGGGCATCATGTTGTTAGAGATTGCGTAAATATAGGATGACCAACGAAAATTTGATTAGGAGGCATTGTCACTTGATCAAAATTGCAACAATAGAGACTTTCAGAAACAGGTAAGAATCATAATTCGGCAAAGGGGGAAAAACAAAAGGAAGTGCATATTCATATGAATATGCTTGAAAATGCCAAAGCCAATTGACAGCTTTGATAGTTTTCAATCACACTAGGCAAGAAATATCATTATCTAATAGCAAATAATCAGAGAGTACGCATGAACTTATAGCACATACTAAATTTCATTAGTAAACAAATATCATATGTCAGAACAGAATATGTTCCAAGAGTAATATAACAGGACCAACCACCACGAGCAACAAATGAGAAACATATACATATACACACCAGCATAGCAATTAATGTCATGTACACTTCAGCTTCACCAGCCAAAAATTTCATGAAACGGCTTAAGGATGAAAGGCAATGTGGCAAGAGCCGCCTGCAAGCAACATAGTTCATTCAACTGTCTGATATGTGTTAGCCAGTAAAATTATAGTTACTTCCATGTAAAAATATGAAAGGATACAATTTGCTACAGATCATATGTTTATATTAATGAACAAAATCTGGTACTAAGAAAGTTAACTTAAAGAACATGTCCAGATAAACTGTATTGATATATAGTGTGAACCGAGTAGCATAAACTATAACATATTGGCATTTGAGGCTATGGAAGACAAGTGCATATTGCAGAGTACAACCTTCAAGATGGTGGCATAAGGATATGGTATCACATTCAACCTTACAAAGTTCAATACGTATCACCTACCTTTAAAATAATGTGGCCAACCTCCTATGAAGTGTATAACCAAATACTTAAATTTTCTACTGCATTGTTTTGTTGACCCAAATTAACTGTTGAAACTTCAGCATATGTATGATGCTTTCTGTCTCCATTAACAAGAATATCCAAAAAGGAAAAATAAACAAAAAACTAAAATTGTTCAGAACAAAAGCATACCATCTAGTTTAGTTATTTCTTGTTAAAGGCAAAATTTCCAGCAAACTAATGCTATGCACCCTTGGAGAAAATGAACTACATTAACACTGGGGGTGCTTATAAGTATATTAACTTCTTTATGTTCGAGTGGAATGTATTGGCACTGGCTCGAGGAGACTATGAAAAATCCTCAGCACCAAGATAAAGTTCCTTTTGGCCCCTGTAGATTCATTTCATATCTCCTGAATCAAGAATCTTAATCTGAAAACTCTGTATCATAAAAACCAACTTCAATCCATATGATAAATTTGCTATTGTTTTCTATAGATAAATTGTGACATCATGAAAATACATTTCAGAAAAATTAGATACGCAACAGAAGCAGGAAGATAGTCATTAGGCATATCAAGGATTTGACTTGAACGAACTGAATTTATGTTCTGATGGATTTACTTTAACCAATGAAATACTAAAAACTCAAATACCCCTGCTTATTATTATATTTGTACCCAATTTCATTATAACCCCATATGAATTTACCTCAGACAAGTACAGGCCATAACTAGGTAATGTGACTTTTGCTGGAACAATACAAGCTACCCAGCCATGGCATCTATCCTCTAAAAGATATATACACTCAACTGAAAATAGTTTTTACAATGTGCTATGAACTTATTTAATAAATAATCAGTCTTCAAAAAATATGACAAATAATCTATAATGTATGCATTCCCGCAAAAGTTATCTAGAAAAGAATCTATAATGACTAACATGATTAAAATAAAATAATTTCTTTCTGCAGTTAAAGGAAACCTTGTTAAAAGGAAGAAAGTGAAGATCAAATACAAAATATAGATGACTTAGACACTTACTGCAACTGTACATGCAACCAGTCCTAGCTTCTCTCTGTAGTCCTGAGACACGAACACAAGGATGAAAACACCAACATACCACGGAATTGCAGCCAGAAAGAAACCAGCTAAGAACCTTCACGCAATGATCAGATTTATAACAATTGACCACATTCAGTTTTAAATAGGTCATGGAAGAAGGACCAAAAGGAAAGAAGCATAAAGCTACACAAGCATGTACCAACATGTCAGCTGTATAGGTTAAAAGGTGCACATTAGGGTCATTAAGGACTTCATACTTAGTCTTAAAACCCATTTTCAAGGGAAAGTGATTTTTTAGAAGATCAAGGACACAATAATATTTTCAATTCATCTCAAATCCACTCATAAAGAATCTTCAATCATCATCGTCCTACAGTTGACCAAATCACCAATATTTTAAGGCGTAGGTTAAAGATGCACAATTAAAGTGTGTCCAAGGAATTGATGCTAGGCTAAAAACCCATTTCGACAGGAAAGCAATTTCTCTTAACAAAATTAAGTCACAACGAAACTTCTAAGTTCTTATCAACCCAAATGAAGGGACAATGAGCATAGAGGTGGAAACGGACCAAATAATTAACAAATAGTGTGTTAATTGTTTAAGTGACTATTCGTTCATATTCGATTCGATTCAATTGCTCATTTAAACACTAAAAAGATAATTGTTAGTATTCGAATTCATTAATGTATAGAGTTTAACCAGATTTATATTCAATTCATTTGCTTATCGAATATTAGTTTACATTTTGATCACTTATAATTTGTATTATTATGTACATGATGTTATATTTTCAACACACTCTCCTTTTCTACTTAATATCTATATACTAATTTTGAGAGACTTAAAGAATCTTAAATCAGTTTTCTGATGAAGTATTCAAATTAAGTACATATATATTGTAATATTATAAGAGAATGATTTTCATTTATAAATTTAAATATTATCTAAAAATCAATTTCTTTAGCGTAATGAATACAATTTGATATTTGATAAATATTAGTGAATATTCATGAATGTTTATCAAATCTCGAGTACTCGACTTCAAATTCGAAAAACTCTAGATAAGGATTTTCAAATTTGGCTTCGAATTCAAGAAATTTAAAAAAATACAAAGATGA